AATAATGTACAAAAGTGGACTCTGGTCCTTAAAAAGAACAAAGAATTTCAAACCTCCAAAGAGGATCTGAAGGTAACAGCTTATACGGCCAAAACCGAAATTTACTAATAGAGTACCAATTAAGTAAACCGGGTTTCCAAAGCTGAAAGTAAGCCTTAGAAATTCCTAACTGTTGAACTAGTAGTTACAGAAAAGGCCAGGCTTAGCTACCTAAGTACAGCAAGCTACATTTATTCATATTCCCAGAACATTTTCTTTGAAATGGGGAAAGTACGAGTTGTGCTTAATAGAAAGTAGCTATCTTTTCCATGTATTTTCTCCATGCGTCTTTCGATTTTCAACTATTCACTGTGTCTGTTGTGTGCCAGGCACACTGTAAAGGGTGAGTAAGTTCCAGTCCCTCAGTGTTTGTGTCAGATGGCTCCACCCATTTTTAAGTACATGGTACTGTTCAGAGTCCTCAAAGAGATTCTACCAGCAACATAGAAAACATTTAGTTTCTGATTAGTTTACTGTAATTAGAAAACAACATTTGAAAGCCACAACCTTTCAGCCTTTTTGCTGCCACAAGAAGAGCCACCAAGAGCCTTTTGGAGTAGAGGACTTGATTTCTGAGGGAAACTGTGGTGTAGCTATTAACAGCCTTCTTGGGAAGAATCCAAACTAAATAAAAATATGTAAAAAGCATGCCTTATAAAGTATGAAGTGTAGTCAGAAGAATTTTGGCTTATAACGAACCCAAGCTTCTGTAAGCAAGGAGTATAAAAGGAATAAAAATTGATTCTTAATAATGGGCTCTTAGGATGACAGTTACAGTGATGATTTGAGTTTGTTGTTATAGTTGCTGACTATAAGAAAAACACATGTTCCTATCAAAGCATGTAAAATTAATGAACACACTGTATATGCAGGGCTTAATGTATACTCTCTTGCATGTTATACTCATTAAAACAACTATCAATGAATTCATTAAATAAAAAAAAATTCAAAGCAATAGTGGCTTCAGACCTATTAACTCTGGAAGCCTGAAATGTAGCAAAAGCATAAAGGATGGAGATGACGCACATGACTGGCTTAGCTTATCTAAATATAACAGTTTTTTTGACACTAGGCAAAGGAATTAGGGAAAGATGGGGGTCAACAGTCAGTGGTGGATGGCACGGGAAGTTATTTGTCTGGCCTTCCCTGCTGACCTAACAAGCATCACAGGACTAACAGGAACCACCCAAGCAGGGGTGTGTAAAACTCTCACACCAGACTGGGCTGCCTCAAACTACTGGAGAACAAACCTGGCCTTTTAATTTTTATAATGTAAAGTAAGTCCTTTGGCCACTAGATGGAGATCAGGTTACTCTGCCAGGAACAAGGGAGAACCTCGTCTTCTCTCAATACTAATCAAGCTCCCAAATCAGAAGCAGACCCATATTGAATAAAGTATCTATAAATAGGAAGAACTTGAAGAACTGGAGAACTATAAAAGACACATTTTTACTTGTTATTACTGCTGCCCCAGGGATAAGTCGTATTTAGACTTAGTTGTGTAAATTACTTGTAAATAACAATATGAACTGTTCTAAATAAGAGCAATTAAATATGCTGTCTCATTGTTTACCAAGCGATGAGAAGGAAGAGGAGAGACATAACCAAAAATTAAAACAACGGCAGACTATTTGGACAATGAATCCCATCTGTTTATACATAAAGACAATTTGTTCCTCAGTTTGAATCTATACATAAGTATACATTTTCAATATGAACCAAAATGGATCAGGGAACATCAGGGATGGAAGGAGAATGTTAGATAACATCTATTCTAGTTTTCCAAATGGAACTACAATTTAATTCTGAATTATGTAACTTTATTACTGAATAAGTCTTATTTCTGTGACAGCTGAACATTGAACTGGAAGTATAGTTATATATTTTCTAGAAAATAGTTGGTTTGGGAAAGATCAAATATTCCCCTGTCAATACACCAAATATTTTATTTTTGAGATGTTAGGTACTATAATTGTTTATTCCTAACTTGATAATCATATACAGTCAATAAATACCTATTCAGTATTCAGTTAAATAAAAACAAATGAATAATTTCTGACAGTTTAAAATAATTTCATTTGTTGTCAAATAGCTTTAATGACCAGTGTAATTTAATATATATGAATGTAAGCATAAATAAACTTATTAATTTCCTGTTATGTACGAATCATTATGTTAGAAGCTGAGAATACAGAGATGCACAAAAGAGTCAGGAAAGACACTGGGAAGAGAAAAGCTACACAGCTGAACACAAACAGAGGTTAATTTTTGTGGTGGTTGACACCAGTTACCAAAATCATGAGTAAAAGTCCTTTTAAAGTTCTGTTGTAAATGATAAACTTAATAGGCCACAAATGCTGACCATAGGAAAAATATGACCTTAGATGTCTATAACACATGAGAAATTAAAAATAAAAGATTCAAATACAATAGTATTTACTATTAGGTATCAATCACTATAATGAAAACAGGAGCTTAATTAAAAGGGCAAAGGAATTAATGTTCAGAATAATAAAAAAGAACCAAAGTTAATTACTTTTCTAATTATTGTTATGGATAGTGGCCAACATTCAGTCTGTTGGTGTGATAAATCCATTGCACTTAATGATATATTTACTTTAGAGCTATACATTTGTTTTAGTTTAATTAAAATAATATATGAATACCATTCCAAAAGGATTTGAGGTTGCTTGCTTATATTGGTTTGTGATTTTTCAAAATGTTATTTTCAGTGATTAAGAATATAAAGGAACTATGTATTATTCATTCACAAATATATGTATTTCTCCTTTAAGGAGATCACAAAAATGACCACATAAAACAGTAATTATTAATCAGGTATCAATAAAATAGTTTGTGGAAATTTCTTATCTCAGTAATTGGCTCTTTGCAGAGCAACACAGCTGGCAGAAACCTACCTTTCTTTTTAATGGATAAAAATGAAATGTAAACAAGGAAGTTTTCTTCTGAAGATTAAAATAAATAAATTATAAATAAATGCTTTTATGATATGCTTTAGTATTTATGGGTACACAAGCTTCCTCATTGTTCACATTAGTTCCAGACAGCAGCTAGATTAGGTGATGACTGACTCATTTTTGGAGTCTTGGGGTTTCCTCTCATTTTGTTCCCATACACCTGTTCCCATACACCTTTCCAGTGTAGGGTTTGGTCTACTTATTCTAACTGCTAAACATGCATTATCTATCTATAATAATAAAAGTGTAATATGCAAATCAGATGAACAGAGGAACAACTCTCCAGACAACATTCCAGACGAAGCTGGGCCTGTAAGGTCCAAGGCAGACGGGGCTGCAAGGGCTGAGCTCCTTGCACAAATTTCGTGCATCGGGCCTCTAGTCCTATCTCATAAAAATAGTAATATGCAAATTAACCCCAACCAAGATGGCTGCGGCCACAGAGCGAGCAGGAGGCTTGGTTCTGCTTCAGGTTACAAAGTTTCAGTTATAGAGGATAAATAAATCCCAGATACCAGGGCCTCTGCTTGGTTTATGGAGTGTGTGGCTGGCCTGCAAACCATCACAGGCCCCTTGCCCAGGCAGCCCCATGCCCCAAGGGAACCCCTACCCTGATCCAGGACACCCTTCAGGGCAAACCAGCTGGCCCCCATTCATGCACCAGGCCTCTATCCTATCTAATAAAAGAGTAACATGCAGATTGACCATCACTCCAACACACAAGATGGCTGCCCCCATGTAGTCAAAGATCCTGCCCCTATGTGGACAGAAGATGGCCACCACAAGATGGCCAGCAGGGGAGGGCAGTTGGGAGGGACCAGGCCTGCAAGAGAGGGCAGTTGGGGGCGATCAAGCCTAAAGGAGAGGGCAATTAGGGGTGACCAAGTCGGCAGAGGAAAGAAGTTTGGGGCAACTGGGCCTGCAGGGAAGAGTAGTTGGGGGGGACCAGGCCTGCAAGGGTGGCAATTAGAGGTAAGCAGGCTGGCAGGAGAGCAATTAGGCATCAATCAGGCTATCAGGGGAATGGTTAGGGGGTAATCAGGTTGGTAAGAAGAAGGGGTTAGGGGCAATCAGGAAAGCAGGCAGGCGAGCAGTTGGGAGTCAGTAGTCCTGGATTGTGAGAGGGATGTCCGACTGCCCATTTAGGCCCAACCAGGCCTAAATGGGCAGTCGGACATCCCTCAAAGGGTCCCAGATTGGAGAGGATGCAGGTTGGGCTGAGGGACATCCCTGCCCCATGCACGAACTTTGTGCACCAGGCTTCTAGTATTAAATAAAATCCTAAGCGATCATTAAGACTGGTCAACTGAATGATGGTCGCTATGTTGTTCACTGACCACCAGGGGGCAGACGCATAATGCAGGAGATGGCCCCTGGTGGTCAGTGTGCTCCCACAGCCAACCTCCCATGGCTGGACAACCTCCCAGGGTCCCTCCTCCCCAACTGGGCAAGATTGCCCTGATCGCTGGCCAGGCCGAGGGACTCCACTGTACACAAATTCGTACACAGGGCCTCTAGTCTGAAAATAAGGAACTTGGTAAAAACACATCTCTATTAGATGCTATCTTCTCTAGTCTAAATGTTTTGACCTTGTAAAATGCACTGCATTTTAGATCCTCAGTATCTCAAGTGGAGATGCTGGCAATGATAGTACACGTGAGAAGAGATGCAAAGTGGTGCAGGAAAATGATTAATGCTTAAGGTTAAAATATAAAAGTTGATTGTATTCACATGCAATGCTATGAGGAACCTGTATATTTAAGCACTGTCAGAGAAAAAGGCACCTTTTCATGGATATCTACATGGATAAGATTTGCCCTTTTCTGGATCTGATATTTATTTTAGCCATGAAAGCAACTATATTTGAGTCATTGGGCTAACAGTTTTCACAACTAGAGTTTTACCACATAAGGGTGCATATTCATGAACTCAATTTATACCTCAATATGCACCCTTAAGAGGTAAGATAAATTCAGGTGGTACCTGCATATGTCTGTCATCTTGTCCAATCATGTTTCTCCATTCCATGAGTGAGCGATGCAGATGTTCAAGTCCAGTTTCCCAAAGCCTGATTTGACCTCCCATATCAATAGTAACAACACCGCCTCTGCCCCACTCAGCTAGCAGTGCATCTGTGTCTGAAATAGTCGATATCCACGAGGTATATGGGGAGAGAAATTCTGATCTGAAAAGAAATCACAGTATTCAAGCAATTGGTAATCTAGATAATGAAGTTAGTTTAACTTGATTTAGGTGCATTAAACTTGCTATAAAGAATTCTAATAATAACCACATTATAAGGTATCACCAGATCAATCTGTGAGTAAAAAAAAATATACATTTAGTTACTGGTTATTTACATTTTTTTTGTTTTGTTGTATTTATGGATCCGAGATGACATTAGTCTTCATTGTCGGAAAGAAAAAAATTCTAAACAAACTCATATTTCACAAACATGCAGCGTTAGGTCAGTTTTGAAACTGATGTTTTGTTTATGTGTTTTAACTTCCTTTGTGTTTTGCCTTTTCTAACTTAGAAAATTGTAAGGATTTATAATATAGAATTTATATATTAGTTGTATTATACATTTCATACATATATATTTCCTTTATTTTATTTTTCTGATACATATACAGTCATTTCCAGGAATATAACTTTTGCCTATAAGTGTCAATTGCATACATACTCCCTTTATTACCTACATAGCTCTTCTATGTAAAATACATACATTAGAAATTCTAATTACCAGTTTGGCTTTCTAAAAACTTCTGATAATAAAAATATAAACTATCAATGTTGCTCTGGTAAAACCACAAAACCACTATGCTTTAGAGAAATTATTATAATATACAAAAAATAAACCAAGACTACTTTGACTTTGACTTTTCTTTTCGGTCTGCCTTGTAGATTTTAAACACTGAAACACAGCCAGCTATTCTGGAATGCAGAAGTCTTAGAAAATGTTTATATAAAGAGAAAGATAACAGTAGGTTGGGAACAAGTGTTTCAGAACTACTTTGCAGTGTTAGAAGAACTCAAAGAAAGTAACATTTGATATAACAGGATATGACTTATTGTGCTCTCCAAAAAAATATTTATTTTAGGAAATAAATTAGTAGGTACAGATGCTGAAGTAAATGGCTATTTAAGAATAATGAAATGTATCCATGTGAAACTATGTTTGAAACTTTTCTAAGAGCACTCAAGATGTATGTGTCTAATGAGCACTGTATCTACTGCTTGCATATTTAAATTTCCATGAAACTGGAAATTTACAAAGCAATTTCTTCAATATGTCAATAAAAAGTGCAGAAGAAATTACTTTTCTACAACAATTTGTACACCAGGTCCAGAATCTCTTCACCTTTTTAAAAAATATATATATATTTTATTGATTTTTTACAGAGAGGAAGAGAGTTAGAAACATAGATGGGAGATACTCATTGATCAGCTGCTTCCTGCACACCTCCTACTGGGGATGTGCCCGGAACCAAGGTACATGACCTTGACCCGAATCGAACCTGGGACCTTTCAGTCCGCAGGCTAATGCTCTATCCACTGAGCCAAACTGGTTAGGGCGAATCTCTTTACCTTTAAAAATAATAATACACAATCCCCTTATATATAACAAGTTCTTTAAAAAAAAACCAACAACATAGAATTACAGTAGAGTGAAACCTAGACTTACATATACCCACAAACAAAGGCTAGGGAGTATCATTTTACAAATGCAAATAATGTAAAAATTTGAGAAACAATACTCAAATTTTACTGAAGGCAAATGTGATATTTTCATTTTGGTCTTGCAGTTACATATAATTTTACTGTATTTTTTATTATTGAAGTTAGCCATAAAATGAAAAATTCCCAATATCTAGCAGAATGCTCAGTTTAAGTACTTAGCAACAAAACTGAAATCCAAATGGGTTGTTCCCTTGGATTACATATATGCCAAAATATGACAACAGTTATCTCTAGAGAAACTCAGATATATTGACAAGGAACAGACAGAATCACATGGCACTTAAAATGTGGCAAGTCCACATTTAGATGTTTTATAAGTGTAAACTATACTCTAGATACCAAAGACTTGGAGAAAGTAAGAAATGTAAATTATCTCATTAAATTTTTATATTGAATATATGTCAAAATGATAATATTTAATATACATTGGGTCAAATAAAATGTTAAAGTTAATTTCACTTCTTTTTACTTTTTTAAATATATATTTTATTGATTTTTTACAAAAAGGAAGGAGAGGGAGAGAGAGTTAGAAACATCGATGAGAGAGAAGCATTGATCAGTTGCTTCCTGCACATCCCCTACTGGGGATGTACCAGCAACCAAGGTACACACCCTTGACTGGAATCGAACCTGGGACCCTTGAGTCTGCAGGCCGAAGCTCTATCCAATGAGCCAAACTGGTCAGTGCTCTTTTTACTTTTTTAATGTGCTTACTAAGGAATATAAAATTACATATGTGGGTCACATTATACATTTCTACTGAACAGTGCAGCTTTAAATGAATTATGGTGACCAGCTGGCACTGGTTATATATACAATTGCTCTCCAGATGTTCTTTCTATAGCAGGTATAACATATAGGTTATAGAGAAAGTTAAAAGAGAAAAACACAGATATAAAAAGCTAGGGCTAATGAGGGAGAAATTAAGACAAATAATAAAACATCATTTAATGCTTTAAATGTAAAATAAGTTCTTTCCTTTTGTAACTTGCACTAATAGTATATTTTAATAAGCATATAATTAATATGGAATAAAGACTTTTCCCAAACGACTAAAAGCCATTTTCCATTAAACTGACACAAGAAGGTATACTTATGTATGCTGGAATAAGTAAATCTATTTATTTGGATATGTTTTCATTATTCATATTTCTTGAACCTGACTAAAGGGTAAAGGAAACTGTGTTTCTGAGTTATTTTGTACTGTCATGCTGAGCTACTTTCTTCTGGGAGTTGGAGAAGGGGCTAAAAGGTGGGGGGCGGGGGTCTGGTGATATTTTAGGTCACTGACAAGTTCCAGTGTCCCTGGTCTTCCTGTGACACTGGAAGGCTTTCTGGCTTCTCTGCTTAGGATTTGAAGTGATGTTTTAACCAGTGCTGTGAAGGCTCAGTCGCCTGTGAAGGAGTACATGTGAGGAGGGGATGTCAGACCAAGGCAGGTACAAGATCAGGTTGAAGGAGCTCATGGATGGAGGCATCCAGAGAGGGATGGCTGATGAGGACCTCTGTGCTCAGACACAGAGCATTCGCCTTTCCTTTCATTGCCTCAGTATAGCTGGTGTAAATGCTTTGCTTCCATCCCTGGACAATAATAGAAGCAGTGACTGGCACTGAGTTTCATCCCCAATCTCTGAAATCCTTTGACCACAATGTGGCCGTCACCACTGTGCAATAACATATTTTAAAGCAATATCAACCAAATGATAGTTAAATTACTTTATAGTTTGAATACATTTACCTCAGATAACTAACATTAAATTAGTAAGTATGAAAATTTCTATAATACTAAAAATGCTGTTTCAGATACAAAAAATTTTATCATTAGGACATATCAACAAAAGAGAAATGAAAACTACAAGGCTGATAGATTTGTACCTATGTAACATTTGAACATTCTTTCAAAATGAAAATGAAAATCTCAGTAAGGCATGCAGAAGAACAGCAAGATATAAACCAACTGTAGCTGGAAAAAAAAGAGCTTTCTATTTAAGGAAGCAGAAAGCACATATTTATTCAAAGTACTCGTTAAAAAGTCACTCTTTTTTTCTTTTAATCTAACATACAAGCTAAGAACAAAAGTGGAAATGGATTACCTGGGAATAGGGATATATCGGAGTTTTTTGGATTGAAGATCAGTGACTTCCAAATAACCAGATGTTAGTGGAGGAGTAACATCTGCAAATAGTCATGACATGAACAAAGTACTAAATTACTACATGATACCAATATAGGAACAGCAAGCACAAAAAGCACACTTCCTATTAAAAGTGGAATGAAGTTATCAATAGTATGAAGCAGAACTCTTAGGATTCTTGCTTGAGAGATGAGGAAGCTGAAGCTTATAGAAGTAATACAATCATGTGTTGGTTTGCTTGAAGCTATGTAGCTGAAGAGTAATGGAGATGGCTTTCAAATGCATGCTTTTCTGGCTCAAATCTATGATCTGTCTACCATTCCCCACAGCTCCTACTTGAGCTGGCCCTACGGCAACAATAGTTTAAAAAATAGCCCCATTTTACAAAATCTGGGCTACTACTATCTTTAAAAAAAACCCCACAACTTCCCCTACACAGAACCATACTTTTAAAGAATTCTGTCCATCTAGTCTTATAAATTTTAATTAGAATGATACATCAAAAATGTCCACATTGAATTTTTATAAACATGTAAGTTTACAAAAAATAAGAAACATGGTTATTTTATTTCATATTTGCAGTTGAAAGTTTTTGAGTAGGGCCACCTGAAAAACTCAAAATCTCTCTTACATATTTAACAAACATGGTTGAGCTTACTTAGTACCAGACATAATGTAGAGCATCGGGGACAGAGAATAAAGAGGCGAAGAACCCCCAGCATAAAAAGGAAAGTTATTTTTTGAAAAACAGAAAACAGAAATCACAAACACAGCCCTTAAGGACTTGGAAAGAGTTACAGTGTGGGACTCACAAGCCTGGGGCCAGGTGTGAGCTGCAGAGCTAGGCAAGGAGCGGTGCCTGGGGCAGAGGGGCCAGGCGAAGGGAAGATAATGTGCAGAGACAGCAGAGGGCAAGAAGGGAGAGTTACTATGGTGATCTGACCTCCCAGCTGGATTGGCCGTCCCCAGATGGCCGTTGTACAAAATGAACATGCTTATCCTAACTAAGTCAAGCACTGCCTGTATTGGAAATGTTGCCTGGGATATAAGGTCAATCTTGGATAAAGTTTTGCATCATATATCATTTTTGACAGTTCCTGCTGCTAAGACCTCGCTGAAGTAGATTGAATTATTTATAGACCCAGGCTCCTTGCCAAAAATGACCAATTATTGAAGCAGTTGGGATGGATCGAGCTGCCTAGCTTTTTGGCTTGCCGCTAACAGGAACTATTTTCATAACTATTAGTATTAAGTTAAGCTACTGCCATTAGCACTTTTTAACTGCCCGTGAAAACAAAGTAAGCTAATTTACTTTAAATTATCTTTTTTCCCCTACATTTTCCTTTTCTTTCACTGTGCAAATTAATTTCATGTCATAAAGAGGATGAGAAAATTGGATAATGATATGTCTATTTAAAGAAGAGAAAGCAAGAATTTTACTCTTGCTGCTAAAAAACATTTTCACTATTAGAAAAAGCAATTTATGACTATAAAGTATTTCAAAAAATACTAAAGGTGGTGGTAGTGGTGGTGATAGCTGTAAACACTTTGAAAACTAGTCAGAATTAATGTTTACTATTTGAAAATAAATCAGCTCAGAACATATGATTACATTAAGGAAGTAAAAAACCGTGGTCAGATTTCCCTCCCAACTTGGCCAAATCCTTGTCTATCCATTTTAAAAGTTCCAACACTGTTGAGAGGATGAGGGCTCAGTAAAGTTCCATTATATTTATAATCCAGGTGGATTTCAAAGATATGTATAAACTATATTTATGGGTTAATTTAATAATGATGAAGGGAAGCCAGTACTGCAGTGTTCACGGCATTGTTCCCCTGAAGAGTGGGGACAGCTTACACACATAGTGCCAAGGTTAGGAGGAGGTATAAACTGTCAGGCAAAGGCACCAAGAACATTTTCAGAGGGAAGATGAAATTACATGAAAAATTTACTCCTAGCAATGTAATTTGATGTAATTTGTTAACTACTAGTTAACAATTTTGTAAATCCTGCAATCATGCTGATACCAAATCTTTGAATTTACTAAAAGTTCAAAAAACAGCGTATTACTTTTAATCAAGAGTCATTATTTTGTGTTTAAAGAGCTGAGGCCTGTGACTAAAAAGAAGCTAACACTTAGCTAGAAGAAAAACAACTGGAAAAAAGCAAGAATCGCTTTTCATCTGCATTAAACAAAGGTTTACCATAATTGGGCCATCAAGAGAGTAGGCTTTATAGTTTCTATCGATTTCCTTAATAAAAGGCTGATATGCATTAGTTTCTAACTAGTCAGATGGTTGAATTTTATTTACTTTAAAAAAGTGAATTTTCATCAGAGACCTACATGAGCATAGATTAAGGAGTCACATGACGAAAGAAAAAGCAGTCAGTCCCTTTACTTTTCTCATCCCTCGCTTCCTGCTTCCAGAGACATGGTCAACTTTTATGCTATTTTTTTGGTATTCACCTTCCTCCTTCTGGTACTTAGTTTAATGATGTTTTAATTTTAGGGATCATTTATTGACTTCCCACCATGGAAGATGAGAGTTTAACTCTTTTCCAACACCCCTTCCCTGCCCAATCTTGTTTAGCCCACTCTCAATATATTTATATGAAAATGTTAGATTAATATCCAGTGCTTATATCATTATGATTATACTAGAGTCCCGGTGCATGAAATTTGTGCACAGTAGGGTCCCTAGGCCTGGCTGGTGATCAGGGCTGTTCAGGGCCTTCCGGCTACAGGCCGGGGCCTCCTTTCCCCAGCTCCCTGCTGGTGTCTTCCTTCATTTTGTGCTGCCCCCTGGTGGTCAGCACTCATCATAGCAAGTCATCGAACTCCTGGTCTCCCGGTCGAAATCCTGAGGGGACAATTTGCATATTAGGCTTTTATATATGTGTATGTGTGTGTGACTATGAAACTGTGTTAAGCTAGTAATGGCCCCATATAGTGTGTGTGTGTGTGTGTGTGTGTGTGTGTGTGTGTGTGTCTGGGTTGTAAGCTTCTCCCCACTTGTGAAGATTCCTATCATAGCAATGTGCTACAATTGGCAGTTTATTCACCTGCTTTTTCTACCATAAAAAGCATTTTAAGAAAATTATGATTTATGCGGAAGGAACTAATAATTCTAAGTATTAATATATAACCAGGACTTTTCAAACCCAGAAATAGATTACTGTAATGCATTTAGAATTATATTTACAAAGTCCATGTTAATATAATAAATGTAAATACAGGACAGCATATTACTGCCTCTGTGATGCAAATAATAATCAGTGGCTTAATGATAACAAAGTTTTTATAATTATCCTATATAATAAAGAGATAATATGCAAATTGACCCTCCTGCCTTCACACAAGGTGGCCACCCCCATGTGGTAAAAAATGGCTGCCATAAGATGGCCAGCAGGGGAGGGTAGTTGTGGGAGATCAGGTCAGCAGGGGAAGGCAGTTAGGGGCAACCAGGCTGGTAGGGGAGGGCAGTTGGAGGCAACCATGCCAGCAAAGGTGGGCAATTAGGGTGACCAGGCCAGCAGGGGAGGGCAGTTGGGAGTGATTGGGCCAACAGGGGAACAGTTAGGCTTCGATCAGGCTGGCAGGCAGGCGAATGGTTGGGAGCCAGCAGTCCTGGATTGTGAGAGGGATGTCCCACTACAGGTTTAGACCTGCAGTCGGATATCCCCTGAAGGGTCCCAGATTGGAGAGGTTGCAGGCTGGGCTGAGGGACAACCTCCTCAGTGCATAAATTTAATTATTATAATTAAAACCAGTATGCGTCAGTAAGAATAGCTCAGGACTAGGGATTAGAAGACCTTGGTGCAGACCTGTGCTCCGCTGGCCTCTGGTGGGGAGATCCTCAGCAAATTATTTTACCCCTCTGTTTCCCTGCATATCAACTAGAGATTATATTAATGATAAAGTGGGGAGGTAAAGATTAAATGAATTTATACAAAGAAAAGTGATCAGCAGAGGACCTGACGTACGTTATGCACTGCTGTTTATTGGTTTAATATGATTTCAAATCAAAGTTGTTTTTAAATCCACTTGTTTTTGGCAAAGACAAAAAAACAACAACACACATATTGTTTTCAGAAATAAAGTTGTTAAGATATAAGAATGAAGAAAGTTGTACCAGAATGTCATTATCTTACTTGTTATTGATAAGCAGTCAGTAGCTCAGATGTTGAATAGCTCTGCTAAGGGCTTATCAAATAAAATGTGAAGAAACAGCTATGGCAAAAGGGGATTTCACTCTAAATACCAAGAGTTTGTGAGGACCTATTTGAGACTCTCTGGAGAAAGGCAACTTTTTGCTGATCTAAACAGATCTCTGAAAACTTTTGGGGCATTAGCTCCTGCCCTCATAAAGGCAATTCATATACTAGCAGTGGCCTGAGAAGGAGACAATCTTGTGTCCATTGCCATGCTATTGCTCCCTGGCCGCGCACTGCAGCTACAGGAACTTATTTTATTTATTATTTATTTATTTATTTATTTATTTATTTATTTATTTATTTATTTATTTATTGGTGGTGCTGGAAGTGTGCTCCAGGTTGGTTAAGCAGTCTCTCGTAGAAAGATTAAATTTAGACTTATTTCTTTCATCTCCTCTTGCCTAGAACAATAGTGTAGTTAACTGATCATTAGTTTGCAGTATGTTGTTTCTTTATTGGCTTATTAAAAGATATTATTCTGGTTGCTATTGGCTTGTGAAATTGTCTTAAGCTGGCAAAGACAAATTCAGTCTCTGAGCATAATTTGCAGCCCCAAACAAAACATTCTATATAATACGCAAATCAACTGGTTGGTGGGGGAGGAGGAGGGGAAAGTGAGCAGAGCAAGTGGCACCAGGCCAGCCAAGGCATGTGCCAACAGGCAGAGGGAGGGGAAGGCAATGGGGTGAGGTGGCAGTAACCAGCGGCTGTGGAGGGGTGGGGCCAGCCTCTTGCTGGCCGGTGCTGTCTCCTGATTGGCCTGCCTGGTCACCTTCTGCAGAGGGAGGCCAGACTGTCTAAGCCATCAGTCAAACATCCCTTGAGGGCTCCTGAACTGCAAGAGGTCATAGACTGGGCTGAGAGACCCCACACCCACCACCAAGTGCATGGATTTTTGTGCACTGGGCCTCCAGTGTAGTTATAAATATAAATTGATTTTTGAGAGCACTAATAAGTGAATCTATCTGCATAAGTCCCTGTCCTTTTATCACAAGAATTTAAGCCAGCAAGTTTCAACCATTTTCATCTCATGGCACACATAAGCCAATTACTAACATTTTGTGGCACATCGAGAAATATATTTTTTGCTGATCTGACAAAAATAGGTATAATTTTAATTCATTTACACCAGACAGCTATTGTGTTGGCTGCATAATTTTTTATTTGACAATCTAAGGAAGAAGATGTCAGTGGACCTGACTAAATAGTTAGGTATCTCATGTTTTAAAAATTCTTTCAGCACACTCGTGTGCTTTGACACAGCATTTGAAATCTCTGGTTTAAGAAAAAAGTCAGATCTATGTCTAATATTCTAGTGATTTTTAAAAGTCTCTTTGACAACATATTTTAAATAAAGTTATTTTATAGATTGTAATGCAAATTAAGATGAGTTCTAACAGCAAAGACTAAAATTACACAATGTGGGAAGTTGAGTGAAAACTTTCTGAGTACAAACAGGTCTTTAAAACTACTAAACTGCTCTTAAAGTTATACTTATAAACATACAATGATAATGATAAATAAATATCCCTACCAAAAGGAAATTGCCTTTATCTTGCTAAGTTAGGAATTGGTAAGTTTCTTACCTTTTGGGTAGATTTCTTTTAGAGGGACTTCTCCTGGGGGCAAAATCCGGACTATCTGATTAGTATCCACAAGAGCCACACAATTGCTCTGTTTTGGAATTCCACTTTTCTTCTTCCCCCCATAAAATGCTGTATCAGTGACCCTTGGTTTATGCAAAGATGATGGCCTTTTCCAAGAATAAACTTCACTGGGAGACTGAAAAAACACCAAAAAGAGATGAAAGTACTAAAGTGTTATGAACCACATTCACCACAGTTGGGTAATATAGCCTTCTATGCAGATACCAGTGGTAAACTTACATTTCACAAGTATAAAAAAATAAAATTATTCCTTAAACATTTTGAATTTGGTACAGGAGATAGCTGCTTCACAAATAATCATATTTTTCAGACAAGTGTGATTATACAACATATGTTTTATCTTGAAATGAATTATAACTAAAAAGATGAAATATAACAATATAGTTAGTTTAAAAATAAAACAAATACCTAACACATCCACTACTGGCATAAGGAATAGAATATCACCAGTCTTTTTTTTTAAGTATATTTTATTGATTTTTTACACAGAGGAAGGGAGAGAGATAGAGAGTTAGAAACATTGATGAGAGAGAGTCATCGATCAGCTGCCTCTTGCACACCCCCTACTAGGGATATGCCTGCAACCAAGGTACATACCCTTGACCGGAATCGAACCCGGGACCCTTCAGTCCCCAAGCCGATGCTCTATCCATTGAACCAAACCGGTTTCGGCATCACCCGTATTTTTTTAAATTAAATATATAATTTGATATATAACACTGGATTAGTTTCAGGTATACAACACAGAGACTCAATGCTTATTTTACCTTACAAAGGGATCATCATGATAAATCTACTTATCATAAGGTCCTGATAGCCCACACTGGGCTATGCTCATGCCTGAATGCCCTCCTCGTCTTATTTGGGCTCCCACATACCACATCAGGTTGCCCCTTCAAGGGGACACACCATCTTCATCCTGCCTGGACCGACTGCCATCACTAGTGGCTCCTTCCCCACCACAGATGTCCTTTTCACTTGCTCAGGCTCTGACCTCTGACACCTCACACTGGGACAGTATTTACCCATTCTTTTAATTTTTATTTTGGATTATTGGTTTTATTACTCTTGAGTTTTGATAAGTCTTTATATATTCCTAATACAAGTCCTTTGTTGAAAATGTGATTTGCCAATATTTTCTCCCAGCCTGTAGATTATCTTTTCCTCTCTCTTTTAAAAAAAATATATTTTATTGATTTTCTACAGAGAGGAAGGGAGAGAGATAGAGAGCTAGAAACATTGATGAGAGAGAAACATCGACCAGCTGCCTCTTGCACACCCCCTACCGGGGATGTGCCCGCAACTAATGTACATGCCCTTGACGGGAATCGAACCTGGGACCTTTCAGTCCGCCGACTGACGCTCTACCACTGAGCCAAACCAGTTTCGGCATCTTTTCCAAAAAGACACATGTAAAAGTGTCTTTTACAGAGCTTAAATTTTTAGCATTGATGAAATTTAATTTATTAATTTTTTAATAGATCACATATGAGATGTTTAATAGAAGTGGTGACAGTGGGTATCCTTGTCTTATTGATATTGAAAGAATTGCTTTTAATGTTTCACTATTAAGGATGACATTTGATGTAGGTTTGCAGATATTTGGTATTAGGTTAGAAAGTTTTAATAAGTTTACAATAATTTAGGTGCTGCTGATAATGCTATAAAAGTTAACAAAAAACAACATACCCCTTTGTTAACAGTTTTATGAATAACTGAAAGAAATTCACATAGAAGCAAAAAGGAACTGTCTTATAGTAAAAAAGTTATGGTTTCGGGTCAATCACGCCTGAGCTCAAATCCCAGCTGACTTACTCATAATCGTTGTAGCCTAGGGAATAGCCTCCCTGTTTCTATTTCTTCATCTATAAAATCTTGTAGAAGTGCCTGACTATTGCATTAAGGCCTAAAAAATATGAATGATATAGAATGCTAAAAGGCTGCATAATTTATAGATTCTTCATTAAACAAAAATTCATTGAACATCTATTTGATGAGTACCATACTAAATATGAAGAATACAGCTTTTATATATATATATATATATATATATATATATATATATATATATATATATATTTTTTTTTTTTTTTTGTTAATCCTTACCCAAAGATGTTTTTTCCATTGATTTTTCGAGAGAGGGAAAGGAGGAAGGAAGGAGGATAGAGAAAAAGGCTTAGATGTGAGAGTCACATCAGCTGGTTGCCTCCCACATGTGCCCCAACCAGGATGAAACCTGCAACCCAGGTAACCTGCCCTTGATTGGGAATGGAACCTGTGACCCTTTGGTCCAAGAGCCAATACTCTAAACACTGAACACACCTGCCAGGATAAGGATAGAGCTTTTAATTTAACAAGGCCACTAGTCCTACAGGCTCTAAGGAATTTCTACAGGGTTAATAAGAACAGTGCCTTATATTCAACACGTACTTTCTAACCTTTTTATATTAACACCAGAGGCCCAGTGCATGAAATTCATGCAATTGAAGGGTCCCTCAGCCTGGCCTGTGCCCTCTTGCAGGGAGACCTCGGGGGATGTCCGACTGATGGGGAGCAGGCTTAAGCCGGCATTTGGACATCCTTAGTGCTGCTGCAGAGGCAGAAGAGGCTCCCGCACTGCCACTGTGCTGACCAGCCATCAGCCCAGCTTCTGGCTGAGCGGTGCTCCCCCTGTGGGAGCACATTGACCACCAGGGGGCAGCTCCTATGTTGAGCGTCTTCCCCCTGTGGTCAATGCACATCATAGCAATCAGTCATTTTGCTGTTTGGTCGATTTGCATATTTGCCTTTTATCATATAGGATTATAGTTTGATACTAATTTCTTTAATCAGAATACAATTTTTAAATAGTTATACCTTCAGAAAAATAGTTCTGGTATTATCTATAATGATAGCAGCAAGCATTGTAGAAAGCATATTAAACATCTCTTTCATTTAATCAAAGCTGCTATAGATACTGTATTTCAATAACATGTTTCATTTTCAGTTATATAATACTATAGCAAATGCTTTTTACTTGATAATTAGGAAGACATAGGGTAAAGTTCTAAGCCACATATTATCTATTGGGTCTTGAATTTCAAAAGTCTTTTACCCTGAAGTACTCTTCATTCTTAATTACATTAAAGTTTTGAGGTATGTGAGATTGGTATACTATCAAGTAGAACTGACATTTTCATCTTTAAATAATTATATCATCTCATCGTTTTGAGGTATGTGAGATTGGTATACTATCAAGTAGAACTGTCATTTTCATCTTTAAATAATTATATCATCTCATCTAAAAGCTACAAAGGAAATTATGAAAATTAAATGTTTAGTCAAAACTCATGAAGCTACATCTAGGGTTATTAGATGGCAACTTGTTCCATTTATCCAAGTTATCATCAGGGGAAGATGGGGCCTAGTTTCACCTAAAACCAATGACTAACAGCCTCTTCTTTATAGATAATAATAAATAACAGCAGAAGGGTCCATCCAAAAGCAAATTAAGTTGACACCATCAGCATTCACAGTATAATCTGGATGCTGCAATGATATGATAAATCAGAGCAAAGGCAATAAAAAGTGAATTGATGTTCATCAGTGTTGAAAACTTAAATCTATAGTAATGAGATCCTGACATATTTCACTTAAAAAAGTCTAGAAGAAAATGCTTTTTTACTAGTCTCAACTTGTTCCTCTTGGCAGATTACATGACCACACATTAGGATAACATGATCTAAAATCACTCTCAGTGGGTTAAGCATTTACATGAATCACACTTTAAATGCTAATTTAAAAAAAGCAATGAAGCCCTAGCTGGCTCAATGGCTAGAGCGTCGGCCTGGGGACTGAAAGGTCCTGGTTTGATTCCAGTCAAGGGCACATGCCCGGGTTGCGGGCTTGATATCAAATAGGGGCGTGCAGGAGGCAGCCGATCAATGATTCTCTCTTATCACTGATATTTCTCTCTCTCCCTTCCTCTCTGAAATCAATAAAAAATAAATAAATTTTCTTTTAAAGGCAATGAAACTATTCAGGTAAAACATTTTTTAATGTTTGATTTAGAAAACAGGATGTTGATCTGAAATGTTTATCAGAAAATCATTGCATTTTTTAAAAATCACTGCATTTTTAATTACCTCCTCAAATAGGCTATATATTAAGGCTATACATTATAAATTAAGATGAAATATTTATTTAATAAGTTAAAAAACTGATCTTACCATGAGATCTGGGAAACCAACGATGACTGTAGCATAACTATTCTCATCTGAGAGAATTCGGTTAGGAGAGGCAATCTTTTGTCCCACAGCTGAACTCAGATTCTCGGATGACAGCTGCTCACTTGAAATTTTATGAGGTATGCTGAAAGCTGTTTCTGAATAGTGTCAGAGAAACATTAGATACCACATGCCGCTAAAATGCTCCTTAAATTAAATTTTTACAAGATTTCATTATCACCAACTCAAACAGAAAAGCACGTTAAAAAGGAAAAACACTTTGGATTATATTCATGTCTCTGTCTGAGAAAACTCAGTTTTGTTTTTACTATCAAGGCATCTTCTCAAAGTAATTTCAAGTATTTGTGGCATTTAAAATTTTAATAGCAATATTAAAATTATCATTAGTAGAGCCCTGCAGAAAAGACGTGAAACTAATCCAATCCATGTTGGTAATGGTATGTTTTAGAGTTTTTTCATAAATACTATTTACTTCCCCAAAACAGTGACGAATTAAGTAGGAAGCCTGATAGTCCATGTAAAAAGGAAAAATGCTATCCCAAAATAGACTTGGAACCTAAATATATATATATAAAAATTCTGATTTGTCAGTTGAAAAAAAATTCAAAGACAGAACTTAAAAGATGGTGGATTCTTATTAACTTTTTCCAGTGTAGTGACTAAGTTGACACTTGGTATAAACTTAACATATGCTGATATTATCGCTGTTAAATGACTCTAGAAGGCAGTGTGCATATGAGCATGCACCCACACAGCCATAAACACAGAGAACACAGTGCTTACCTGCTGTAACTCCAAACCCTGTGCTGGGCGGCTCCTCCTTCAATACATACAACTGGCAAACCCCACTATGCTCAGACTCGATGTGTGCGGGCTTAGTTAAAAGGTATTTCCTGTAAACAAACAAAACATCTAAGTGAAAAGTTTTTATTTTTATAGTAATCGTGCAGCCAGACTAGAAAAATCAAGTCTTTCCTCCAAAAGCCTCTTTGTGATATTTTTAGTACAATTTGCGACTCCCAGAGTTTCATTGTGATTGCCAACACCATGTAGAAGGAGCAGTGCATAATCACAATGCAGAAAACAAATGTAACTAAAAATCTAGCCCTTTGTGTAAGAGGGAGGGCTGTAAAAGAAAAAACAACTTTAATGATACACACTCTTATTACGGAGCCTGACCTCTGATTTGTGACCGGCTAAGGGACAGAAGCCTTCACTAGTGTAATCTCCTTATTTTTAAGATTTCTGAGATGGTGCTGCAGAAATAGCCAGAAATCTTTTGAGCAGACTACCTCTGCTTGCCAGCAGGGGTGCAGAGAAAGGCTGCCTTTGGCTAGTGGATAAATGCATGAAGGAGGGCACTCAACACTTACTGTGCACCCTCTTTATGCCAAGAGCACACAATGTCCCTTGCATCAAGGAGTGTGCCATGCAAGGGGGCTAGTAACACAAACACAAACATAACCAAATAAGAGCACACGTGATCAAATGAAGAAGAAACTTCTAAGAGGTGATTCTGTGAAGTCACAAAAAAGCAACAGCTCTAAGATCCCATTGAAGACAGGATAAACTGGAGATCTATTTTGAAGAATCTCTAGTTAGGCAAGAACACAGTGAGTTCTCAATGTGCTAACAGAAAAAAAAATCCTAAAGAAATATGGATCATACATAAAAGTGACTATGTTTTTATTGTTATTTTCAATGCAATCCTCTGAAACACTTTTATAACACCTCTGTAAAGTGACCTTTAATTTACTGTAATTTTCTCTCCTCACTTTTAACTTTCACCCGCAGAGGTGCTGCCGAATTCAGAAACTGTTAACAGACAGACACAGATAGAACAGTAAGGATGTTGGATAATCGGTCAGTAAGGAGGAGCGATAGCATGAGATACCACATAGGTCCACCCACTGATTGGTTTTGTTCTCCACCAGAAGCCATTTGTCCTCTGCTACAAGGTAAACTGCCTTGAGGTCGATGGGAAGTGAGATGGTATGAGTCCGCCCTTCCAGCACATCCAGCACAGTCAAGCGGCTCCTGAAAGAGAAGAAAACTGTGACTGAAAGGAGATGCTCAGGATGATGGCTGTGTAATCATGGCACAATCGTTTTCAACCTTAAAAAGAGTATTTTTAAGACTAAGTAATAACATAGAAAAATGTTAACTAAGCAAACAGTTATTCAAAATTATAAACTAAGCATCGGAAGAAATAATGGAAAGTGCCAGCTCCCATGCTAGTGGTGGTTGAATAAAGGAGTTATGAGCACTGTCTCTTCTTATGTCTATTGTTCAACATTCTACAATGTGGGATGAGTTTCTTTTATAATAAAACATTTATACTTTGGATAATTAGTTTTATAATAAATAAATATATTTAAAAGAGGAAGTATAATGGGCAAAATAAGGATCAACAACCAAGAGCTCACCCTTTTTCTTTGTAGAAAACTAGCCAGTTTTTGTGCGAAAATTCTTTACACATTTTATACGTTTCCTAAAGACAAAACAAAACAAAATATCCACATTAAATGTGTCAGATGCAGTCATGTCTCTTCAGCTGCTTCACCTTAAATTTTTTCAACATGTAAAAAGTAATTTTCAGAAGAGCTGCCCATTTATTTGGCCAAGACTTATGGTAAATGGACTAAATATATGTCAAAATTTACTGGGAACTATGCACTAAAACATCTTTAGAATTATTAAAAGATAACACCCAATACTGGTTAGAAATAAACGTGCTACTCAATGATTAAAGGTGGAATTTATGCCATAACATAAATAAATAGAAAATGCTTTTCTTCTAAGATTTGGAGACCTTCATGACATTTAAAAAATTTATTTTCATGGACTGTCAAGACCTAAGTATGCTATCCTGCAGAGAAGAAGATAAGCCTTATTACATACCCATGACATTTTTCTAAATGGCAAAATAAATTCTTTGGGTTATCCTAAAATGTTTATTTACTAGTTTAATTTTATTTATCTAGTAGCAATTAGATGTTGTACTCATGGTTTTATCATCTAAATTGGGTGTTGTACTCATGGGTTTATCATATAAATTAGGTGTTGTACTCATGGGTTTATCATATTATATAAATCCAAAACATAAATGCATATCTAGAAAACAAGTTAAAATGGTGCATGATTAGGAATTTGTTACAAATATCATACTCAAGTAGCTCATAATGTCCTATTATCATTAATTCAGTCCTGACAAGCTTTCGTGTGTGTATGATGAATATAAAAAGAAGCCAATGATATGTAATGATATGTGTATCTATCTCTGTTTGTATTGTGTTAAAATCTACAAGTGCAGAGTAAGAGAATTCTCTTGTGCATTATAATGAAAGGGATGGGCAGGCATTCATGCTTATGGTTAAAAAGCTACAGAAAATCCTTGACAATTTGCTGGGCAGGTTGGGTATTCCTTACAGTTTCTTCCTTGTTCCACCAGGAAGGTTTCTTAGATGTAACTTCTGAAGAGAGGATGAGACGACGGACGGCTCGGCCAGCCGTGTCCAACAACAGGATGACGTTACTCTGGAAGTGGAGAGAACAGCGAAAAGTTCAAGACTTGTTCCTTTTTGCAGAAGCAGAAGGTCCTTGGCAACCTGGGAGTAAAGGTTATAATGATAATCCAAATGGAAGATGGAAATCTTGAAACACTAAAGATGAAGATACCCAGTCATTTTCTTAACATAAAATTTAAACTATTAGATGGTTTTATGAAGATGTTTCTAACTATATGATGTAGAAGGTATTCTTTTTGAAGATTTTATTTTAAAAGCCACCCCCTTCTTAATATAGGCTAATTTTATTACATAGTAATGATAAAATTAAGAGAATTAATACTTTTTTATATTTTTAATTTTTTAATTAAGGTATTATAGGTGTACTTATCTTACCATTGCCCTCTCCCACTGGGAATTAATATTTTTTAAAAGTTCATTTACTTTATTTTAAAACTTTTTTTCAGATATACTAGGAGTTTATGCTGTATCTACTCCCAGGCCATAGCTTTTGTTTCTTCATTTTCTTCTGGGACATCCCTTTTTTCTGTGGCATTTCCTCTTCTGGTTTAGAAACAATCTGCTCTTTTTCAGCAAGAGTCCTTTCTCTGTGGCAGGGAGAACTCATGTATGGGCTCTGTAAGTTGTACACTGCGTCTTGGTAGCTCTGTTCACCTGGATGTGCTCAGTGACCAGAGAGCCTAAATCTAAAGCTTAAGTTCAGCAGTGCTCTCTGCGTTTTTAAGCACGTGCAGCAAGAAGTCAGCACTCTTGTTGGGCCACTGACCCTGTGACCGGCCCCACTGTTTTGCCTGGGAACACCTACCAACTCCACCATTCTCACGATGGAATGGCACACATTGCTTCTGTAAAGTGACAGCCTTCAGACACCTGGTGGCTTTTTGAATATGCTTATCGTGGTGGCCTGGGCAGTTTCATGTGTGTTCATAAAGTGAACACGAAGATTTGAGCCTCTTGATTTTGTGGAGTTTTCTGGGTCTAGTGAATAGCGAACCATTTTCAGAGGTCACCTCTGGCCGCTTTGGGGAAGAAGAAGCAAGTTCATGTGCTTTTGTCAAAATGACAAAGAATGTTCTGTTGAAACTCTTCTACACTGTACACACTTATATTAAAATTAAATAATTAAAAATAAATTAATTCTTTTCACAAATCTAGTTCAATTCAGAAAATATGTATATGATATATAAAGATGGGTTAGCAAGAAGATATCAAGGACTACAAGAACCTAGCTAGTAATTAGTGTTTCCTCATCTTGTAATTCACTAAACTTAAAAAATTTTCCTAGTTGGTACTGTAATAATGTACAAATGAGATTACTCCAGTATTATTAATCAGTTATGCAAATGAAGTAATAATCTCTTAGTATTTAGAAGAGGTTTTGAGAAAAATAAATTTTTAACTAAACCTTAAGCATTTAAAAGAAATGAACAGAGTCCAGCCAGTGTGCCTCAGTGGCTGAGCATCGATCTATGAACCAGGAGGTCACAGTTCGATTCCTGGTCAGGATACATGCCGAGGTTGTGGGCTCGATCCCCAGTAGAGGGTGTGCAAGAGGCAGCTGAACAATGATTCCATCTCTCTCTCCGTCGCCCTTCCACTTTCTAAAAAATCAATAAAAACATATTTAAAAAAACACACATGAAATAAGAACTTAAAATTGAGAAAGCCAGGAAATATTAAATATTTTAAAGGGATGAAAAGTTGACTTTTTTAGTTAAAATTTGAAGACCTTCAACAGTTTTGCAAAAAGGCATCAGCAAATTGTCAGGCCTCGTTGTTATAATATGTTATACAATTATCTTTTCTTTCTTTCCTTTTTTTAAAATTGGGACACCTCCATTATCCTAATTCTTATGAATTTTCATTTTAATAAGTTCCTTTGGGGAAAATTAAATCACAAAACACCCAAATAATTAATATACTTTGCAAAATTAGGAAACAGAATATGAAATGTTTGTTAATTTCTCCCATAATATCTATTGAACCGTTGATATTTAAAACACGAAGGAGAATATAATGGTGAATTAACTATGGCTCTTGTCTTCTATTATATAATTCATTCAGAGAGACATTTTTAAAATGTAAAAGGATTAATGACTCATCTGCAAATCTGGAACCACATAGTGTGATTTCAAATTTATTTTACTACCTAGTATTATTGAGGTTTCCAAGAATTAAATTAGTATGCATATCACATAGTTTCCTTCTCTGTCTATACTCAATCTTGGCAGTCTTAAAAATTTGACTAAGCATTTTGACAAAGCTTAAGTTTTTCCACAAACATCACCCTTAGAGTGCATTATTCTATTTAAAATGTAATTCTTTATTAAGAATGTATATTAAAATATTCTTTTTAAAAATAACATTTCATATAAAAAGTATTATTTTTGGCACTTGAACGTTTGAAAATGATAGTGATACCTGAGTTTTCCTTAAGAAAACATGTTAATAAGTTAAAAATTTACAGTTTCTATTCTAGATTAAATCTTTTTTGAAAAACTGTTTTTTAAAGGAGAAATTCTTAAAAAAATAAAGGAGAAACTCCTTTGTATATGAAAATATATACAATATTAACATGAATTCTTAGTACTGAAGCAATCTGGGGTAACTAACTTTTCTAAGCAAAAAAAAAAAAAAAAAAAAAAGGCCTAAAATTAATGTCTGATTCTAAAATATGATTAAGCAGATGATTAAACAGATATGATTAAGTAGAAAACTAAGTTACTACAGTTTTGCATTTTTCTTCCTTTTTAGGGTCTAATACTTATATACTCATAACCTGGTCTACTTAGTGAACTGAAAAACTGAATCTTTCTAAGTGTCAGAAAACATGTATTTCCAACCACTGCTGTATTTAGAATTAGTTTTTGGAAGCAATTGGCAACATGAATAAGTTCTGTTGTTCCATCCTCTTAGAAGTTAATGGTTTCCTTCTGTAAATGACTAAAGATATATTCTGTCTGAGTTTAAAAATAGAATTTTGCGTCACACACAAGTACATGTAACTGTGGCTTTGGCACTCCTTTAAGGGGGCAGGGAGGAGAGGCAAACGAGCAATTTTATTATGTTTGTATTTGACTGGGAGAAAAGCAACCTCTGGATGACCTCAATGTCCCAAAGTCTGAAATTCTAAACTTTGTACAGATGTAATAAATAATCTCATGGGGAGGGGGTGGAGCACTTTATTTTTAGGCATGGAGAAGTTTCCCTTTCCTTACTTAAGATTTTATTTTAGCAAGGGCTTTTGAACAACTTCTTAAGCTAACCAGGGAAATGCACCCAGAGCAAAGATTTATTTTTAAAAGACAAAGGATAGATGAATTAATGGAAGTACTTCTCTACACTATTTTAGCTCTGTTTTCATTTATAGCAGGATAGGGAAGAAGGAATTAAAGGCAGTGCACTCATTTTTTATTCCATTAGAACTATTTACCATTTGTTAACTTTTACAGCTGCATGCTGTATATTTGGAATTAAAGAGGTCTTACGTCCTAACAGGGTCTTAATACAAAAAAGACAGCTAAGCTATTCTCTCTGGAAAAAGAGGAGGCAGTTCAAATGATAGGCAGAATGGAAGTTTCCAGATAAGCTGAGCAATGCCTGTGGTAGCTTTCTGGACAACTGTTAACACCATAGTCAAAAGGGTAAGTCAGATAACATGCTAGAATGGCAGGAGGTCACATCCAGGCTATGGAAGCTAAGCATAGTTTTCTTTTCTTTTTAAATTAAATTTATTGGGATGACATAGACCTAGCCTCCACATAAGGTTACAAAGTTTCAATTATAGAAGATACATAAATCCCAACAGAAATGGCTGCTGCCATGGGGTGAGCAGGAGGCTAGGCTCCGTACCAGGCTACAAAGTTTCAATTGTAGAAGGTAAATAAATTCCAGATACCAGGGCCTCCGCTTGTTTCAATTGTAGAAGGTAAATAAATTCCAGATACCAGGGCCTCTGCTTGGGTCACCAGGGGGCGTGGCTGGCCTGCAAACCACCACAGGCCCTAAGCCCAGGGGGCATGGCCAGCCTCTAAACCACCACAGAACCCTTATCCAGACTCCCCCATGCCCAAGAGAACCCACACCCTGATCCGGGACATCTTCCAGGGCAAACCAGCTGGCCCCTACCCATGCACCAGGTCTCTATCCTATCTAATAAAAGAGTAATATGCAGACTGAACATCACTCCAACATACAATATGACTGCTCCCATATGGTCAAAGATCCTGCCCCTATGTGGACACAAGATGGCCAGCAGGGGAGGGGAGTTGGAGGCCTGCAAGGGAGTGCAGTTGAGAGAGACCAGGTCTGCAAGGGAGGGCAGTTGGAGGCAATCAAGCCTGCAGGGGAGGGCATTTAGGGGTGACCAGGCCAGCAGAGGAGGGAAGTTGGGGGCAAACAGGCTGGCAGGGTAGCAGTTAAACATCAATCAGGCTGGCATGGGAGTAGATCAGGCTGGCAGGCAGAAGCGGTTAGGGGCAATCAGGAAGGAAGGCAGGCGAGCAGTTGGGACCAGCAGTCCTGGATTGTGAGAGGGATGTCCGACTCCCTTAAGGGGTCCCAGATTGGAGAGGGTGCAGGCTGGGCTGAGGGACACCTCCTCCCCACCCCCCTCACACCCGTGCACAAATTTCATGCACTAGGCCTCTAGTGGTTAATAAAACTATACAGGTGTCAAGTATACAATTCTACAGTACGTCATCTGTATATTGTATCCATCACCATTTATCCTTCTTTTATGCTCTTCTAATTTCCCTCATCCCCCATCCCCTTCCTTCTGGAAATCACTAAATTGTTGTCCTTGTTCGTGAATCTTTTTTTTTTCTTTCTTTGCTTAATCCCTTTACCCTTCTCACCCAGCCCCAACTCTCTCTCCTATGACAGCTGTCAGTCTGTTCTCTCTATCCTTGAGTCTGTTTCCATTTTGTAGAGATATGGTCAGGTAATATTCATTCTGTGTAAATGTACCACAGCTGTTTTATCCACTCATCTACTGATGGGCACTTGGGCTACTGTCAAATCTTGGCTATTGTAAATGATGCTGCAATGAACATAAGAATGCATATATTCTTTAGAATTAGTGTTTCAGATTTCTTCAGATATATTCCCAGAAGTGGAATTGCTGGGTCACAAGGCAATTCAATTTTCAGTTTTTTGAGATATCACCATACTGCTTTCCACAGTGGCTACACCAATCTGCATTCCCACCAAGAGTGCACAGGGGTTCCTTTTTCTCCTCATTCGCTCCAACACTTATTTATTGCTTTATTGATGATAACCACTCTGACAGGTGTGAGGTGATATTTATTGTGATTTTAGCTTGCATCTCTCTGAAGATTAGCATTTTTCATATATCTATAGCCCATCTGTGTGGCCTCTTTGGAGAAGAGCCTTTGCTCTTTTCTTTTTAAAAAAATGTGTCTTTATTGTTGAAAGCATTACAGTTATCCCCCGCCATTGATGCTCTCCACCTGGCTCCTGCCCCCAGGCCCTCATTGCACTATTATCTGTTTCCATGGGTTATACATATACACATGTAAGTTCTTTAGTTAATCTCTTCCTGCTCCCACCTCCCCACTTCCCTCTGAGATCTGTCAGTTTGTTCCATGCTTCCATGTCTCTATTTCATTCATTAGTTTATTTTGTTCATTAGATTCCACATTTGAGTAAAATCATGTGATAGTTGTCTTTCTTGGACTGGCTTATTTTGATTAGCATAATATCCCCTAGGTCCCTCCATGCTGTCTCAAAGGGTAAGAGATCTTTCTTTTTTACAGCTGCACAGTATTCCATTGTGTAAATGTACCAAACTTTTTTTTTATTATATTTTTATTGATTTGTTATAGAGAGGAAGGGAGAGAGATAGAGAGCTAGAAACGTCGATGAGAGAAAAACGCCGACCAGCTGCCTCTTGCACACCCCCTACCGGGGATGTGCCCGCAACCAACATACATGCCCCTGACCGGAATCGAACCTGGGACCTTTTAGTCCGCAGACCGACGCTCTACCGCTGAGCCAAACCGGTTTCGGCAAATGTACCAAACTTTTTAAATCCACTCATCTACTGATGCTTTTGCCCATTTCTTAATTGGATTGTTTGGGGTGTTTTTTTTTGGTGCTGAGTTTTGTAAGTTCCTTATAAATTTTGGATATAAGCCTTTATCAGATGAATTGGCAAATATATTCTCTTAGTGGGAAAAAACATTTTTTCTTGATGAAAGTTGTTGTAAGTGAATACAGTATTAACCGCCAATGTAACCAAATAATTGACTCCTTTGAGAAAATAAAACACTTGATGAGAAGTGAAAAAACTTTTAAAGAATTGGTATATGTAAATTTGACAGCTAAAAAGAGGCCCACACCAAGGAACATCTTAATTAAAATAGCAAAGTTTAAAGATAAAGAGAGAATCTTAAGAACAGCAAGAGAAAGATAGTTACCTACAAGGGAGCTCAAAATGAATTAAAGACTTAAATTTAAGTTGTGAAATCATAAAAATCCTAAATGAAAACATAGGCTGTAAAATCTCAGACATTTCTCATAGCAATATTTTTTCTGATCTATCTCCATTGACAAGGGAAACAAAAACTAATAAACAAATGGCACTACATCAAACTAAAATGCTTTTTCACAGCAAAGGAAATTAAAAGACAACCCACTGAATGGAAGAACATATTTATCAATGATAGATCTGATAAAGGGTTAATTTTCCAATATTTACAAAGAACTTATACAGGTCGACACAAAGAAAACTAACAAATTACAATATGGGCAAAGGACCAATAGACACTTGTCCACAGAGGACATACAAATGGTCAACAGACATATGAAAAGTTGCTCCAAGTCACTAATCATCAGAGAAATAAAAATTAAAACCACAATGATCTATCACCTCACACCTGTCAGAATGGCTATTATTGGGGGTATAGCTCAGTGGTAGAGCATTTGACTGCAGAATGGCTATTATCAATAAATTAATAAACAAGTGTTGGCAAGGATATGGAAAAGGGAACCTTTGTGCACTGTGAGTGGGAATGCAGATTGGTGCAGCCATTATGGGAAGCAGTACGGAGTTTCCTCAAAGCATTAAAAATGGAACTGCCTTATAACTCAGTAATTCTACTTTTTGGAATGTATCAGAAGAAACTAGAAACACTAATTTTAAATAATATATGCACTCCTATGTTCATTGAAGCGTTATTTATAATAGCCAAGATTTGGAAGCAGCCCAAGTATCCATATGCAGATGAGTGGACACAAAGCCGTGATACATTTACACAATGGAATAAATACCTAGTCATATAAAAAGAAAAAAATCTTACCTCTTGCATCAGTAATGAATGGACCTGCAGAGTATTAAGATAAGTGAAATAATCAGTCAGAAAAGACAAATACTACATGATTTCACTTGTAGGTGGAATCTAATGAACAGAATAAACTAATAAACAAAATAGAAACAGACTGACATCTGTCAGAGGGATTGGGGGGCTGAGGGGCTCAGTGGAAAAGGTAAAGAGATTAAGCAAAAAACAAAACAAATAAACAACAACAAAAAAATAACCAGAACATAGACAATAGTATGGTGATTTCTCAAGAGAAAGACTGGTGGGGGAGATGGAAGAGGTCAAATGGCAGATAAATGACAGTAGAAAGAGACTTAACTTTGGGTGAGCGGTGAGCATGAGATGTAGTATGCAGATGATGTGTTATAGAGTAGTACACTTGAAATCTGCATGTTTTTATTAACAAATGTCACTCCAATACATTCAATGAGTAAGTAAATATGAAACGCCAAAGAAATTTCTCACTCCTTCTTCATGTGAAGTGATGATGAAAAAATGGCTAATAAGTGGTCCCTCATGAGACATCGACTTTGCCAATGGTTTGATCTCAGACTTCCTAGCTTCCAGGACTGTGGGAAATAAATTTCTATTTTTTTATAAGCTCTCTATTCTATGGTTTCTCTGTTATAGCAGCCCAAATGGACTAAAGCAATATATGGCATCCTCTGCATAAAGGATTCATCCAGGTTTCAGAGAAAATATCAGCTCTTAATATTGGTCACCTTCCCAATGCCTCCTACCCCCATCATTGCTTAGAACTATTCTCTAGTTTCTTTTATACTCCATTCTACTGATATAGTAAGATGAACTTAGACCTTTAGAATTCTCACTAATTAAAACACATTGCCTGTGAAACACACTACCTGAAATTGGCATATTTATTTGTTTGTTGTTTATCTACCCAAAGAGAATACAAGGTTCACGACAAAGAATTACGTGACCTTAAATGTTAAGGGTTGAGAAACCCTGACTTTCATGTTTCCAGACTAATAAGTCTGGAAGTCTCTACAGAGAGGAAGACATTAACCTCTTTGTGGTTATGATAAAATATAACTTTGGAGCATTTGTTCAGCCCCTTTACTTAATCTTTATAAAAATACTTACTTTCAGTTATGGCTTATAAATCATTCTTGCCTTTTACTCCACATAAGTTCCCCTTGGCATGTGAGTACCATGTGAGTAACCGGGATACATTACCTGCTGCTCATGGAGAACCACTTGACCATTGAGGGGACTTCCCAGGGGTGCCACTGTCACAAATGGGTGCCAAACTCCACTGGCCGTTCTTGGGAAGATGTCAAAAAAGTCCACAAAGTAGCCAGTGTTCCCAGCCATACTCATGAAGTATAAGGAAACAGGATTGCATGTCACTACGTAGAGAGTATATTCCTCATTTTCTGAAATGACAAAAAACAGTTAATTTTTAAATCTGCAACAAATTTTCTGACTGGGAAAGAGATCCAGTGAAAACTGAATCATGAGACTAAACACAGTTGAAACTCAACAGGTGAATTGATTAGGCTTAAAGACCATGAGAAGCAATTTAGTTCCTGCTCTGGAAGTAGATGGGGCCACAGCTAACTATTTGATCTGAGAGAGAGAGAGAGAGAGAGAGAGAGAGAGAGAGAGAGAGAGAGAGAGAGAGAGAGAGAGAGAGAGAGAATATATATATTAGAGGCCTGGTGCATGAAGTTATGCATGGGTGGGGTCTGGCTAGCCTGGCCAGGAGGAGAGGACATGGGTGGATGGCCTGCTGGTTGAACTCCTGGTCGAGGGGACAATTTGCATATTAGCTTTTTATTATATAGGATATACACAGAGTGGCCAGATTATTATGCATTCGATATCATAATAATCTGGCCACTCAGTGTGTGTGTGTGTGTGTGTGTGTGTGTGTGTGTGTGTGTGTTTCTAACACAATAAAATGCTCTTTTCTCTTACAAATACAGGATAGGTAAAAAAAAAAAAAAAACCAAAGAAACAAATAACAAAAAAACCTAGTTTGCAAATGAAGACAATACTAAAATAAAGGGTTAAATTATATGAGGGAAAGCAAAGGAATTCATCTTTTTAAAAATATATTTTTATTGATCTCAGAAAGGAAGGGAGAGGGAGTGATATATAGAAACATCAAAGATGAGAGATAATCACTGAAGCTGCCTCCTGCATGCCCCCTGCTGGGGATTAAGCCCACAACCCGGGCACATGCTCCTGGCTGGAATCAAACCTGGAACTTCTCAGTCCACAGTGGACACTCTATCCACTGAGCCAAACCAGAGTTCATCTTTTAAGAGCCAATTCTGACTAACTGGCAGCAGCTGCCTAGAATGATGGGTGGAGAACTGTGACATTGTCACAAGGGTTAATGAGAAAAGTGCTGCCCTAGATTAGTGATGGGCAATGGGGCACATGATCACAGCATACTTATGTACAAGTCCTAAATATGAGACAAGGGCCAAATTTCAAACTATAACCATAAAATCCATATTTAATCTCTACTAATGAGCATAAAATTCTATATAATAAAAGGGTAATATGCAAATTGACCCTAACGGCGAAATGTTTGGGAATGACTGCTTGCTATGATGCGCACTGACCACCAGGGAGCAGATGCTCAACACAGGAGCTGCCTCCTGGTGGTCAGTGTGCTTACACAGAGGGAGTGCTGCTCAGCCAGAAACCGCCTCATGGCTGGCCAGTGCAGTGGTGGTGACAGGAGCCTCTCCCGTCTCCACAGCAGCTCTAAGGAAGTCCAACAAATGGCCTAGGCTGGCAGGAACAGGCCTAGGCTGGCAGGTGGACATCCCCCAAGGGGTCCTAGACTACAAGAGGATGCAGGCTGGGCTGTGGAACACCGCCCCCCCCCCCCAAGTGAACAAATTTTCATGCACCAGGCCTCTAGTATTTTAATAAAAGCACCAATCTGTTACCAGAAAACTCTGTACCCTTTTAAAGCACATTTTCATTCAACATATCTGCTTTTAGGAATAATCAATATCTATGGAACTTGTATGAACAAAACTTGCATCTAAATTTTTGCCTAAACAATCTCCATCTTAGTCAAGTTAGAGACTCTCTCTCCCTTCCCCCTGCCTTCCCCTTTGTTTACATTACTTTAGTAACTGCCATTAATTGAGAAACTTCTGCCAATAGGTACCAGGGCACACTGCATGAATCAGTAGGCAATGGCAACAGTCCAGAAATGCAGATGCCAAAAGTTCACATCCTTTATTTGTCATTCTTCACAATGAGAAGTTTAATGACTGCAAATCATTCCAGCCCTGCTTTCATGGTTCATGCAATCACAAAACTGGAATCCCAGCCAAAGAATCCAATGTTTCTCCTTTTTATTTTCCCTTCTATTTTTAGCACACGCCTGGGTGTGTTTAACTTTGTGCTACAGTTGTAATGAGAAACAGACGTATGCATACAAACTTAGCAGTGCTTAAGGGATTCCACAATAGTATTCTGTTAGGTTGGTATAGGAAACTAGTTCTAAATTACATATAATTGTTATTTTGATGTCCTTTAAAAAGAATCAGTGTAGGAAGGGAAAATCAAAAGAACTGACATACCATGGGATGTAGCGATGTCACAGATTATGTTAATTTCATCCAATGGCAACTTCCAGGAGGCACATTCTTCAGTGAAGGTTTGAGATCTTCCGTCATGTCTTTCTATTGGATACTCCTGTATGTTTATAAGTGCTGGACCCTATAATAAAGTAGTTTATCTGAATTAAGAAATTTGGGTAGTTACCAAAATATAGAAAAGCTGTAGTTTTTCCAAAATACAGACTTTAAATTCAAATAATCAATATCTTGATGTCTCTCTTCTTATTTTATTGACTGGCATGGCATTTATAACAATAATACCATAAAATTGCATTTATAAATGCTTCCACATGTGCTGTTATTTAATTTCTCACTTTATTTTATTTTTGCTCATAAAATATACCAGATGTAAAATCCCATAGTATTTCTCACTATTTCATTTCTTTCTAAGCCAAGAGCAACTTTGAATGCCAAGTACTGAGACTCAGAACTGTTCAAACTAGGAGAATAATTTGTAAATGAATGAATCAGGGCCTGATATAGTTCCACTGCAAAGCATGGTTATTACATTATTATATAGAATGTAATGGCTAACCCTGGGTCTTTGAAATAAAAAACAGTAACAACTGAAATGAAAAACAACTCACTGATAATTATAAAAGGTAGAAAATTTCACACATGCTAAAATATTATTCAGTAGTAACATAAGCAGAGGAACAAATTTAATAATTTTATTGCTATTAGTACTGGATACTCAGATATGACATCCTGGAAAGATTATAAAGATATAACTAAAATTTCAATGATTTGTATGCAGTCAGTCCTTAACTAATAAAAAAAATGTTTGGGTTAGATATTGACTACTGTGGCATGTATATTCCCTTATCCTTTCAGAATAGTCTGTGTCTCAGGAGCATGAAAACTAGAAACTAGATTTCTCATATTCCCTTGCAGCAAGGGTTCTGGATGAGATTTAGTTCTACCAATTAAATTCACTTGTATGAGATTTGGAAGGTAGAAGAGGTAGTGGCCATCTTCCTACAGCTGTAGTTGACAAGGAGCCCTGACTAAAATGAGCCATCAGATTCTATGCTCTCCTGGAAGCACTGATGAATGACAGCTCACTGGTCAACCTGATCCTTCTTCTGCAAATAAAATTTTACTGGAACATAGACACACTCATTTGTTAAAGTACTGTCTAAGGCTGCTTTTGTACTACCATGGCAGAGTTGAGTAGTTGTGACAAAATCTTTATAGCCACAAAGCCTAAAATATTTACTATTTGATATTTTAGATAAAAAGTTTGCCGATCTGCTTTATTGTATAGCTCTCAGCAACAGAGGTAGTAGCAGAAGAAGAAACACTGATCTTGAAACTAAGTCCTTCTGTACTTTCTAAAAATTTTATAAGCATCTAATTCCCTAAAATAAATCTCTTATTGCTGGAAATACCAAGGGACTTTGTATGGAATTATATTTTGCAATAGAGGGGTTTCTATTGCAACTAGTGATTGATACCCTTTTCCTTTGCCTTTTTACACAGAGACAAATATATTGGAGGAATTGTCCTAGAATAACACAAAATACCCAAATTTCCCAAAATACAAGTTAGCTCTTAGGAATTCTACTGACCACTAGCAATTCTCTACAGGTAGCCTCTCAGAAGCCAGACTTACTTGACAGTTTGAGCAGAAGCTCAAGCTACTCTAAAATAACATCAGAACAAATTATTTCTGAGCTTATATTAATTTTCTCCAGTGAAGATATATAAAAATCTGTAACATTCAATATTTTAATGAAGAAATAATATCAACCTTTATGTCTATGTGATGAGTTTCTGCAGGACACAACAGTTTCTGCATTCCATCTCTTGACTGGCCCACAGTCCAGTAGCCCATGAATGTCTGCTCTGGCAGAGGCAACCTGTCAAGGAGGATTTGAAAAGTAAACATTCCTTCTTGTTTCCAAGTCACCAGAAAACGTAACGCACCATCTATTATCAACCACAAAAATAAATATGAAGAATGATTTCCTTAGAAGTTCCTTACACATTATTAAAAGAGTCTATAAAACCACGTTTAAAATGTACTTTAAGAAGAAAAGATGCCACTTTTCTGAAACTCAGAAGGTAAAGTCCCATTTTGTTTTTACCTTAATGACAAATACAATAGATTACATATATTTTCCCTTGAATTGGTAAAATACTTAGCAAGGTGACATCTAAATTCCTAGTACAGTATAGGAAGGACTTAGGCAAAAAATTAAAATAAAAAAAATGGAGCAACCTATCAAATTTTCAGTATATTCTTTTAAATTTGGAATAAAATAATAGACAATACACAATACTACCAGTCACTGGTTGTAAGTTGTACAGGATAAGTTTCATAGACTCTATGTTAGCACCCTAATTTTTTCACTTTGAATTGAAATATTATATACAGAAACATTCACATAAATGTGCCACTTAGTTCTGAATACACCAGCACCCAACACCAACACCCGGGAAGCCCCTCAAGGCCACTTTGGTCATTGTACTCACCAAGGGAGCGCTATCCTGATTTCTAATGAAATTAGTCTGTGTTTAGATTCCTTTTTATTTAAAATGACTTTTAAATAAAGTGACTTGCCAAAACACAGATGGCAATGCTAGAGTACAAAACCACAGACAAATTTTGAGAATAAAGTCTTCATTTTTAATCATACTATTTTTTCTTTGACTTTTTAAAATGGAACAACCAATTTGTCATTTAATTCATTATAAAGTTCTTATTCCTTGGTAAGGTGAAGAAAACAATAGTTCAGAGTTAAATTTCTTTCTTTCTTTCTTTCTTTCTTTCTTTCTTTCTTTCTTTCTTTCTTTCTTTCTTTTTTTTTTTTTAAAGCACATGTAGATACAAATTGAAATGCATGCTTGGAATGAGTTTAATGATCATTAAAAGAGTACTACATATTCACATTTTGAAACCATTTTATTTTCAGTAAGAATAGTCTGACACAATATTTCCATATGCTTAATAACACCATGTAAGGCTCAAACATTTTTGGCATAAAATAACAGAATCAAACATTCTGGTAGAATATGCTCTTTGGTCCTTTGAAATACTTAACACGAAAGGAATGATATTTACATTGATATTTTTTGACATTATCTTATGCAAATCTCTTAAAAGGAAATAGGTGCTTTTGTATCTATCATCTAAAACACATTTCAAATTATTCTGATTGGTTACTCACTTATTTCCATGTTTTTACTGGAAGTGATGTAGGAAGGGCATAGAGCCAGGGGATTCACTATTATGTTTTCTCTAATAAATGTAATAAAAATCTACGCAGACTTTGGAGAGGAAAAGTAGGCTAATTTCTCTGAATGTTAATTTCTTCCTTTGTGAAATCAAGGGGAAGATCTGTATGGTTCCTTAAAGCTTGGGTAGCCTCTAAAGACCACTGAAGTGAGACAAGGGAAATGTCAGTGGTAGATTCAGCTGTGTTGTATTACCTTGGTGCTCTGCAGTGAAAATAAAACCACCAAAATGAAAATATCTATACCTACCAATAGAAATAGGTGCCCTGAAAGGCATTCTTTACTAATTAACTTAAAAAAAAGTTCTAAATACATTCCAGTTTTTGGAGACAACAGAAACAGTTTGAAATTTAACTATGTTTCTTAAGAGGTGGAGAATTACTTAATAAAAATGAACTTTGCTTGTTAGGTTAATGTATAACCTAAAATTGATTGACTAACATATCCTTTAATGATCATAAATATATAACATAGTTGTGAAAAACAAAGCAAAATACTTCATCCACCTGAGAAAAAGTAACTTTACTGGGCATCTATCCCTGACAATTCCAGGGGTAGTCATGAAACCTGGTTTGAACTTGCCTTCTAAATAATAGTTATGGAAATTACAAGCTGTCTGGGACTCACCTAAAAATAGTACTAGCTGGTTGTCAGGGTATGGGAAGGACCTTCAGGTACTCCTATAGAATCTGTTCCAGAACCACATAAGATTATGTGTATGGGCAATCACAACTACAGCTAAAAGCACATTTGCAGGGTGTACTGGAGTTGTACACTCAAACTGACTCCATCCAGCTCCTTGGTCACATCAAGTGTTGTTTCCAGACTTCCTCAGTAGGCTCCAGGCAGGCCAATGGATGTAAACCAAAGCCCCTCACTTATAAGCCCTCCCAACAAGCTGTGTAAAGATTTGATGATTAGTAACTCACTCCCCTTCACTAAGTTAGTAGCCGGGGGGAAAAGGGAAGCATTAAAATTGGATGCATGAGTAAGCTCTGAATTTGAAGCATAATCAACATTAGCTTGGGTAGAACTCTAAACAAATAACCAGTTAGCAAAAGAAACTATATTCCATTATTAAAACACTAGAGGCCTGTGCATGAAATTCATGCACAAGGAGGGAGGGGGTCCCTCAACTTGGCCTGCACCATCTCACAATCTAGGACCCCTTGGAAGATGTCCAATTGCTGGTTTAGGCCCAAACCCTGCAGGCAATTGGACATCCCTTTTGCAATTTGGATCATCCGCTCTTAACCGCTGGCCTGCCTGCCTGCCTGCTCAGTGTTCATCATAGCGACTAGTCGATCCAGTCTTTCTGGTCGTTCCACCCTTCTAGTCGCTGGGGGGTAAAAAAAAAAAAAAAAAAAAAAAAAAAAAAAAAAAAAATATATATATATATATATATATATATATATATATATATATATATATAGAGAGAGAGAGAGAGAGAGAGAGAGAGAGAGAGAGATAGAGAGAGATATTTTTTTTTAATATTCCAACTCTGACCAGACTTAAGTTGTTATACCTGATTTAATTAAAACAATGATATTTTCCATGGTTTTAAGAACATGTCACTTGTTTTGTTTAACTTTGTTAAAGTCCTAGCAGAAATGATGATGTCTGGATTTAATTTTAAAGAAGAGGAGGAAGAACTTAGAGCCTATAAATAGCACTACTTTTTATTTTCAATGCCATTAATGAATTTATGTTTTCTTAAAAGAATGAAGTATTTCAATTCATATGTTGTGATATTTCTTAATAACTTGTGGAAGTATTAACAAAGATCTGGAAGTAAAAGTTTTAACTATAAGAATGGTGAATATAGAAATCATGACCCAGGTCAAATTATAGCACTTGAGCAGTTACAGACAGGAAAAAAGTTGTGGGTTTTTGGGATTTTTTTTTTTACATGTATATAATTCTTAACATGAGCCATATGGACACCAAAGTCAAGAAATATAGTCTGAATGACATGTAAGAGATTTGTCTAAGATTGTTTTTATAAAGAGGTGAGCTGGGGTTTTAAGGAGCATGTTCTGGCAAATTTCTGCCTTCTCTGAACATTTACCAGTACTATTTCTGGAGTATGAAAGAAACACATGAAAAAGATTTGGATCTTTCTAGGGGCATTATATAATTGGAAGTTGTTGGCATACCTATTATCAGCAACTCCTAAGTCATTTCCTTACCACAAGAACTACTAATTTTCATAGGAATAATGGAACCCTGTAGGGTAGTTCCACCAACTCTCAAAAATTCACCAATTACTGTCAACTTTGAGAAGTAAAAGAACAACTCCAATTTTACAAGGCTTCACTCATTCCTAATGTTTTAAATCTAATCCCTGATACACATTAAAGTGGATTGTCCAACTGAGTTTACTGAAGCCTGAACAGAATAACCCAAACAAATGTTTCTACCTTTGGCTCTTACCCATTCCTCTTACACTTCAGCTAATTTATGCCTTTGCCACCTCAAACTGCTACTTGTTAGTCCTGAACATGTATGTTCATGCTTCCGCCAGGTATTTCTCTTATTGCCTCTTTAATGAAATCCTCATTCCTGAGGCCCAATTCAAATGTTATTTACCCTTGCACCCCTCTCTCATATTCTTCTGGGCAGAATGAATCCTTTGCTTTTCTGGGTTTCCATGTAGATTTGCATTCTTAGGCTAGAGTTCGTGTAATTTGCAATTTTCAAATTTACGACCCAATAGGGACTAAAAGCTTAAGAATTCAAGTTCATAAATGAATTGATAAAATCCCTCGTTAATATTTTTTATTTAAAACAAAATTTAAAAACCCAGCACACTAAAGAAAGAAAATAGAAATCCCCTTTAAACACTTTAAGTTAGTAATAACGGGTACTATTCCAAGTTAACCTCGTTTAGAAGAAACTTCTGAATCTCACTTCCCTATAGTCTCACATGTGGCTGGTAAACTAATTTTGCTGCAAATGATATGCATACAACAAGGATGTGTGTGGGTTTTTCCTTTCTGTGCTTGGCTCTGCATTCAGACACATGGTTTTCCCTTTATAACTTAGATGTGTGCACCTCTGCCACTTAGGTCCCATCAACGTCACAGAAATGAAGAGTAATTTGGATGCATGCAATGGAAAAAGATTTGGGGAAACTCATTCTCAGCTGACACTTCTCAAATATGACCCCCGATATCCACAATGACACTGTGCAGTCTCAGTGTTGCTGCCCAGCATCATTGGTGCCAGAGCAGGTGTTGTCAGCTGGCCCCACACATCTTGGGCTTTCCTCCTCCTCAAAGGAGTTGCCAGACTACAGTTCTGGGGGCTGTATTTCCTTTCCCTCATCTTCAAATTTTATTGCAAACACTTTTCTTTTTCTGCCATCTGCTTTTCCAACCACATTTGAGTATTTTTGAATCTCAAGTTCTTTCCTTTTCTAATTATCCACATCAAAAAGACTAGGACTAAAACTCATCCAGTTGAAAATTTCTCTAGAAAAAAAATACCAAAAACCAAAACCAAAAAACAAAACCCCCCCCCAATCCTTCTGTATTTCTCATAAGAAGGATTTATAATAGGAACTAGCCTTACTGTAATGTAGCTTTGAATATAACATTGCATAACAAGGTTGATAGCTTAC